ATTCAGCGAAAATGCATCTATATATGCAATTCTTATATCTTAAATATCTTACACTTTTTCATATACCTGTTGAAAAGCCTTCATAAAGTAAACTTCCAAGAAATTTTTTATCGGTTAAATAGCGCAAGAATATAAATGATGTTCTTTTTGAAGGCTTTCTTTCACAGCATACATTTAAATGAAATCTAATGTAGTCATAACTTATTGCTCAAATTACAATGTTACCTCACCGATGAATCTCAACCCAGACAACCTACCCAATTCAAAAGTTACTACATCTATGAAGTTGAAAACATTTTCATTGACTTTAAAATTTTTCATTAATGCAACATTATTCATCATTTATTGTAGCATTGTCATTCATAATATTCATTTATATGCGTCATTCGACCAACTACTTTTTATTATCCATATAGACATTCATATACTTTTACTTCAATTGAACAGTGCTTCTTTGATTCACACAAATAATTTCACCCACATTTTAAAACCAACTTCCACAACCTGTCGACCCATGCATTTTCATAAAATAACTCTGAAGTTTCTCTATAAAGTCAGTTCCCACCTTGCTTTAATAGCTTATGAAGTCAGTTTCCACCTTGCTTCATTAGCTTAAATAGCTTATTTTAAAGGTGTATCAATGCTGATGTTTCAACTCCTTCAAACCATATTGTATCTGGTTTTTCTTCACAACTGAGGTAGCCAAGTACATTTACGAAATCGAATATGGTTTTATACTTTTCATGGATGAGCATAATCATTGCACATCATTTCGACTCCTGTCTATCACACCGTTTTAGCGGTGTTATTTTGAAACACTTATACATAACATGTTCCTTTGAGGCCGTTCAATCTCAGCGTTTCAAAAACATTATTTCTGTACTTATGTACCATCTCGAGCTATGCTATTCGTTTCAACACCAAGCTACACTAAAAGTCACGTCTATGAAATCAACAACTGTGCACCATGATCTTTTTACTTCAAGTGAACTAACTATTTTATATACCTTCTCGACCTATGCAACTTAGTGCAATACTGCTGTAAGCTCACCAATAAAATCAGTTCCCACGATGCTTGGATACCTTATTTGAAAAGTGCATCATACTAATGTTTCATTTCCTTCAGACTATGTTGTATCAGAGATTTTCATCACAACCGAGGCTACTTCTTCAAATGCCATATAAAGTGGCTACTTCTTCAATTGCCATATAAAGTGCATTGATGAAATTCAATATGATTTTCACCTGAGGGCACATTATTAATTGCATCTCAATTGAACTCTTTTTCATCACACCACTTCAATCATGAAGATTGTATATACATACTTATGCTTCATTTGAGACCTTTCAACCACACTGTTGCTAGGACAGTATTTCTGTACTTATTTACTCTTGAAGCCACACTACTTTTTTTTTTTTTTTCAGAACTAAGGCACACCTCTGACATGAATTTAAACAATCCTTTGAATCTTGATAAAATAGCTTTTATTTATGTATATTTCATTCCAATCTATGAAATGTTAACATAACACACTGTTTCTCCACCTTGACACCTAATAGCCTTTTTTTCAATGCCAATCCAATCTTAGCAAGTTTACTTTACAGAGTTTACTTTGCAGTAATACCTTAATTGCTTGCTTTAGCATCATATCATCACTCATAGAACTACTTTCAACAATACCACTTAGTGTTTGTATACCACCACGGCCTATAACGTTTACTCAAATGTGTTTCTAAAACTTTATTTTATCCATTCTCCTATACATTAGTTCAATAACATATCGTATCTCAACCTTTTTATATTGTACTGTTTCTACATTTAATTTTCATCTTGACCCCAGACACTTTTCTGTACTACACAATGCAAGTGAATTTCTTTGTGTGTTATTAATCTTATTCCATTCAACGCTTCATGACCATACCTGACCAACTTAATAACCATTACAAATATCACTATTTCTTGGTACACCGGTTCAAAATTTCAAAGAAATTGCTATCATCTTTCGATATCACGATTTATTAGAGCATAAATATTACTGATATCCCTACAATGACCAGCTAATAAACTTTAGAAAGAAAGATTATTAGAGCATAAATATCACTGATATCCCTACAATGACCAGCTAATAAACTTTTAGAAAGAAATCAATAGTACTCACTATAACATGTAATCATCACTTTTTCAACCCATAAAACTTTGCCTAATAGGAATAGAACTGCATTTATGAAATTAATTTTTGATGCACTACAACATTCCGGATTGGCAATAAATTATTGATAATATTTTTTGCTTCGTCATTTTACCCATTATTTTGTATTACTCATGCAGACTTCACATACCACTTTTGAAGGAGTGATAAAATCTATCAAATCAATATTGCATTCCGAGATACTTATTTGAGATAACGGCACTTCTTGATTCACACAAATTAATTTCATCCTCAATTATTAACCACTTTATAAACCTTGCACACTTATGGAACTTCATGAAATACTACTGTAAGTTCACCTATAAAATCAGTTCCCACCATGCTTTGACATGTTATTTGAAAACTACTATTACTAATGTTTCCACTTTCTTGGTGCATGTTAGAGTTTTTTTTTTATCACAAACGAAATGCCATAACAAGTAGATTAATGAAATACAACACTACTTTACTTTTTCATGCACGCGCACATTAGTCGTGCCTCACTTTAACTGCCTCAGTTGAGACTTTTAACCACACCTTTAGAAAAGAGGGTTCACGTACTTATTATAGACCATACCGAGCCACACTACTTTTCAAAACCAAGATACACCTGCCACATAAATTTCAATCATCCGTCGAATTACAATGAAATAGTGTGGATTTAAGCAAATTTCATGAAATGTACATGTAGCACATCTACTACTAAATTACTTCATTTTACACCCCTTACAACTTCTCTTCATCAATACTGCTAGTGAGTCTAGTGAGTCTATCAATTACTACCATACTTTCATTGCATGTTTCAGCATCGCATCATCACTCATAGAAAAATTACTTTCAACTATACCACTTACACCATAATGTTTCTGCTGTTTATATACCATCACCACCTATGGTGTATATCACACTGTTTCATCAATTATTTTTTTTTTCTACATATATTTACTTTTATGCAACATCTCAACCAAAAACACTCCTCTGTGTACTATTTAGTGCAATTCATTGCTCTATGACCTATACTGTTTCAATTTTTCCACCATCTGAAATATCACTACTTTTTCATATACCGGTTCCAAATCTCTATGAAAGATCTATTTCAACCATCTTTGAATGTTAAGGTTGAATAACGAATGATTATATTGATATAATTTCACTTGATCATATTGATATAATTTCACAAAGGTTTCTTCCGTAGCATACATGCGATGCCCACCCACAAACTTTCTGAATTAAGTCACTTCACACAAATTGACTTCATCCACAGTTTACAACCACCTTATGCGCCCTCTCGACCTATGCAACTTCGTAGAATACTACCGTAAGCTCACCAATAAAATTATGTCCCACCATGCTCCGATAGCTATTCGAAAACTGCATCATTTAGTGATATTAAACTATCTCAGACCATAATGCGCCAGAGGTTTTTTATCAGAACCGAGGTTACTTCTCAGACCATAATGCGCCAGAGGTTTTTTTTATCAGAACCGAGGTTACTTCATCAAATGCCATAACAAGGACATTTACGAAATTTAAAAGTGATAATTTTTATTGAAGGGAAAAATATCAATCACACCTTTTTTGGGATCACACCTTCTTAACTATTTACTTTTATTCTTCAGATCTGTTGTTTCTTTTTTTTTTCGTCAGATAAAAGTTTCAGTCATCCACAAATCTCCATATTGACTAATGTGTACTTATAATCCTTTAGGATGTAACACATCAGCAACTATAGTTGTTTACTTATACACTACTTCCCTTGAATGACAATGCTAATACAGCATGGCTTCAAATCACTTGTGTCGCAATCACTCCTACCGGAAGTACTTTAAACCACTCCACTCAAGTTTCAGTTTCTCCACTGTCTATATACGACAACCACCTAACTCATCTATGTGTCTATAATAAATCTATGTGTTTATAATAAACTGAATTTTCACCTGCCATGAAACACCCCTTTAATACAAATATCCTACTTCATTGAACTTTTTTTGAAAGATCATACCATTTCAACATTCTTTTTTATATATATTCTTTACACACCATCACCCCTTTAATACAAATATCCTACCTCATTGAACTTTTTTTGAAAGATCATACCGTTTCAACATTTTTTTTTACATATATTCTTTTCTGTGTTCTATTCAATGGACGTGCGTCTATATTGTTTTCACAATTTCAATATTTTAGTACACAGTAGCATGCAATTACAATTATTTCATTCAACGCTTTATGACTATATAGAGTTTCAAAGTTTTTTTTTTTTTTCATATACCATCTCAAATATATTTTTCGTTTACCACTACAAAACGTCTTTAAAGTGAGTGAATACCACCTTTTGACACCTTCATTCAACAGTGAAGGAGTATTATTGATATCCCTACAAATGCCTAGCCGTAACACATATGCAATGTCCATTTAAGCAACTTCTTGTGATTAAAATCAGAGTACTTCAAATTTTTCATACATAATTCTCTTCCATACAAATTAACTCATAAACTTTTTCAAATAGGTATGTCGATAAATCTGGATCAATACCACAACATTACTGAATGTTGGCCGCAACGATTTCAGCTTTGAAATCTGGATCACTGCTTAGGTTAATTATTCTTAAAGGCTACTAATTAAAGATCAATAAGTGCAATACAACGAAATAAAGTTCAGGTTTATTGCAATACTTTTGTTCTATAATAATGACCATCTAGCATCCTTATATGCCATTTCTTTGGTATCATTAAAATCAAGTTTATGAAATATTGACGCACTGTGACGTGATAGCGCTTATTGATCTAAGTAAATTACATCCACAGCTCTAAGCACCCTTTTAACTCATGCAACTTTGCAGAATACAACTTTAATAACATTTTTAAAATAGTTCCTATTACGTATCAATACCTTTTGCGAAAGGCATAACATTACAGTCAGAATAGAGGCTACTTCTTGGAATACCATTTTCGAGAAGTAGTTTTTGTTTTACATGCTTTTATATTTTGATTAGACAACATACTTAAGCATCTCATTCAAATGCTATTGCTCAAGCACTTTTCACCTTACAACCATACCATTACAAAAGAATTATTCCTGTATTTATATTCTAGTTTGAGCAATGGTTTTTTTTTTTTTTTTTTCAAAGAACACCTTTGAAGGGGGTTACCACCAGGTTTTATTTTCCTATGCAATATATGCAATAATTCGGCTTTCGTTCCTTTTTACAGTAGTATTTCAACAACTGTGTTCAATTTTTCACAAAGTCACATTACTTTAACTTGTCATGAGTAACACTATATGCGTTATTGACTATTAATCTGTGGTTATTTGGTTCACTATTGTGTGTATTATCACTCATTTCTCGACTCCTAAGCATACAGCTTGAACCACTATATTCTGCTGTTGAGCTATCACGACCTATGGACCTTTCCTAAAGTACTATGGTATGCATGCCTACAAAATTAATTTTACTTAATGCTTCTATATATTTTTATTTCTGCCATGCGTATTCCATTTAGTATATTATGACCATACTGTTTCACAAGTATATTTACATATACTATTTCACATATCACTACTTTTTTCATAAATACTTTAGAATATTTTCAACCTTTAATGAATATCTCAGATTAATTGCAAATGAACATATTCTAATATACATAGTTGCTAGACACACATTCTTACACCTGCACAGTGTAATATTTTAGTGTAATTGCGCATCACACAGTACAGATTCCACACACACAAATTCACAGATCTGTATACCTTGATATATTGGTTTGAAAGTACATTTCAATTTTTCAGATTTCATCGCATCGATCTCACCTACACATTTTCATTGAATAGTGTACAGCTATGTTTGGTTTCAACAGAGCTACAACTATTTATACTTCATTCTACTGATTTCTTTTTATTTACCTGTACTTCTGATATTTTGGTTCGAAAGCACATCTGGACTGTTATTTAGCAGTGCAAATATCACCCGCACTATTTTACACACCAGGCCATATCCTTCTTGAAATTCACTAGCGCATCAATATTCTTCATTTCATTGTACAGATGAACCAACATGTACACATGCATACTGCAATACTTCAGTTCACTGAAATGTGCAGATTTCACTTAGATAATGATACACTTGTATACCTTGATATTTTGGTTTATAGCCTATTAGTATTCATAATAATTACACCCACATATTCATATACTTATATACTTTGGTTAAAACTATATTTCATTGCACAGTATTTTATAAACACATTTTCATTGAACTGTATCCTGTAATACTTATGTTCAATAGTGCATTGCTATTCATACTGATTACACACACGTATTCATACCCTTGCATGCATTCGGTATAGTTGCCCATCATGGTTCGTATCTTATTATTCAGATTCCACATGCATTTATTTAAACATCTGTATACTGTTACTTACCACTATTCTATTTTACCACTATTTTTCTCATTTCACACACACAATTATTCACCTTAGTGAATACTTTGGGTTAACAAGGCATCACTATTTGCATCTCATTTTACAGATTTGACCGAAACTCAGATGCACATCACAATTCGAATTCATTCTACGAATTTTTCTCACATTTCAGTGCACCTGAATACTACTATACATCAGTTTGAAGTCCATGACTATTTATCATTTGATTGCATAGATTTTACAGATTTTCATACAGCTAAAACCTAGATATGTGCACACAACCATATACCTGTGCATCGCAATATTTTTGTTAATTAGTGCATCGGTATTGATCAATTGTATTGACTTCACCCAAAAATACTCACACACCGATATACTCCGCCTATACATATATTACACCTGCATACTGTGAAACCTCATTAACAGACCATCACTATTCATAGCACCGATTTAACCTTATAACATATTTGTACACCTGTATACTGCAATAGTTGTTTTTTCATATCGATTTCACTCATGTTCACACACCTGTATGTTTAACCAGTTGTTTTAGTAGTGCATCACATATTTCATTGTACCGGTTCCACTCGCATACCTTAGTTCACCAAAGACCACTATTTTTATTTTACCGTACCAATTCAATTCACTGTTAATTGCTTAACTTAGTTCACCAAAGACCACTATTTTTATTTTACAGTACCGATTCAATTCACTGTTTCCTCTTAATAACTCTTTGCAATTCATACCGATTACATTCACTTTCACACACCCGTATACTTTATAATTGCTTCAGTAATACCGCACATATTCCACTATACCAGTTCCACTCGCATAACTGTATCCTCTAACACTTTGGTTCAATGAAACACCACGATTCGAATTTCACTGTACCTATTTCGCCTGCATAACTATTCAAACACTTGTATATTTGATCTCTTGGATGACCAGTGCATCACTTCATATTTCATGGTAGATTTCACCCACATGTTCATACCCCTGCATACTGCTATATATTGGTTTAGGAGCACATCACGACTCACATTTCAGTGTACGTATTTCACTTATTTCTATCAACTGTACTCTGCGATATAGTTCAATGAAGACCACTATTGTTATTGAATAGTACTGATATCATTCACAACTCCGGTTTATTCCGTGCCATTCATATCGATTTCACCCATTTCACACACCTGTATGTTTAACCAGTTGTTTTAATAGTGTATCACATATTCCTTAGTACCAGTTCCACTCGCCGATATAGTTCAATGAATTCTTAATTCACAGTACCAATTTCATTCACTGGTTCGGCTTAATAATTTTTGCAAATCATATCGATTTCACTCATGTTCACACACCTATATACTTTATAGTTCACACACCTGTATACTTTATAAATTGGTTAAATAACGCATCATTCATTCCACTATACCAGTTCCACTCGCATAACTGTATAAAGTAATACTTTGGTTCAATGAAGCACCATTATTTGAATTTCAATGTACCTATTTCACCCGCATAACTATTTAAACATTTGTCCACTTTATCCTTCGCATGACCAGTGCATCACTATTCATATTTCATGGTACATTTTACCCACAAGCTCACACCCCTGCATACCGCTATATGTTTGTTTAAGAGCACATCACAACTCGCATTTCAGTGTACGTATTTCACTTGTTTCATTCAACGAACAACTCCGGTTTATTCCTTGCCATTCTTGCCAATTTCACCCGCGTTCACACACCTGTATGCTTTACGAGTTATTCTAATAGTGCATCACATATTGCATTGTACCGGTTCCACTCGCATAACATAGTCACAACTGCGGATTATTCCTTGCCTTTCATGTCAATTTCACCCACGTTCACACACCTGTATGCTTTACGAGTTGTTCTAATAGTGCATCACATATTGCATTGTACCGGTTCCACTCGCATAACATAGTTCAGCAAAGACCACTATTTTATTTCACAGTACCAATTTAATTCACTGTTTCGGCTTTACTCTTTCAAAATCATATTGATGATACTCATTCACACACCTGTATACTTGATAAATTGGTTCAGTAACACCTCAGATATTCCACTTTACCATTTCCACTCGCATAACTATACTATAATACTTCCGTTCAATGAAGCACCACTATTCAAATTTCACTGTACCGATTATCTCTTGAATGACCAGTGCATCATTATTCATATTTCATGGTAGATTTTACCCACAAGCTCATTTATACCCCTGCATACTGCTATATGTTGGTTTAAGAGCACATCACGAATCATATGTCAGTGTACGTATTTCACTTATTTCATTCTACTGTGCTCTGCGATATAGTTCGATGACCACTATTATTTCATAGTACTGAAACCATTCAAAATTTCACTTATACCTTGCCATTCATTTCGATTTCACCAACGTTCACACACCTGCATGCTTTATGAATGGTTTCAATAGTGTGATCACATATTGCATTGTACCGGTTCCACTCCCATAACATAGTTCAATGAAGACCACTATTTTATTTCACAGTACCGATTTATTTCACTGTTTCGGCTTAATAACCTTTTGCAAATCATATCGATTTCACTCATGTTCACACACCTGTATACTTTATAGTTCACACACCTGTATACTTTATAAATTGGTTAAATAACGCATCATTTATTCCACTATACCAGTTCCACTCGCATAACTGTATAAAGTAATACTTTGGTTCAATGAAGCACCATTATTCGAATTTCAATGTACCTATTTCACCCGCATAACTATTTAAACATTTGTCTACTTTATCCTTCGCATGACCAGTGCATCACTATTCATATTTCATGGTAGATTTTACCCACAAGCTCATACCCCTGCATACTGCTATATGTTGGTTTAAGAGAACATCACAACTCGCATTTCAGGGTACGTATTTCACTTGTTTCATTCAATGCACAACTCCCGTTTATTCCTTGCCATTCTGCCAAGAGCACATCACAACTCGCATTTCGGTGTACGTATTTCACTTGTTTCATTCAACGCACAACTCCGATTTATTCCTTGCCATTCTTGCCAATTTCACCCACGTTCACACACCTGTATGCCTTACGAGTTGTTTTAATAGTGCACCACATATTGCATTGTACCGGTTCCACTCGCATAAAATAGTTCAGCAAGGACCACTATTTTATTTCACAGTACCAATTTAAATCACTGTTTCGGCTTTACTCTCTGAAATTCATATTGATGATACTCATTCACACACCTGTATACTTTATAAATTGGTACAGTAACACCTCAGATAATCCACTATACCAGTTCCACTCGCATAACTATACTGTAATACTTCCGTTCAATGAAGCACCACAATTCAAATTTCACTGTACCGATTATCTCTTGAACGACCAGTGCATCATTATTCA